ACCATACAGATCCTAGTTCAGGAATTTCCCGATATCTAACTGAGTTCTCCGTATGTTTATTCCTCCAGGCAATCTCAAATCGAGAACTCGATCTGGCTACTAAACAAGTTCAATGGATAGCAAAATTCATTTCGATTATTTGTTGTAATCTCATCTTGATATCTTAACAAGGCGACTGGATCATGTTCACAACATGATCACTGTGTCTCATCTCAGCACAATTCAAAGCGTCTGAAGCAATTGTTTGTGCGAGTGAACCAATCTCAACCCATTCGACATACTTTATATGCGCATACAAATCATTTATCTCATAATCCCAACATTAGATTACACATGAACTCAAATTGTTCCCTTATGGGCATACAAAACTCAATCAAGAGTTTTTTGATACACTAAGTATCATATTCTACAAAATTCTAGAGATTCAATATTACCAACAAATATATCTCTAGAGATCTTTAGAGTATAATGATTACATATCATCATTTATGTAAATATATCACAAAGACACTTTATTTGCTAATACCTCTTATAGAAATATAATCAAGTACTTTGTTCTATCTTGATACTTGACATCTTAATACATAAAGTAGTTGCATAACTATCATGTATACCATATTCTCAACCAGCATCATTAGATGCTCAATCATAGGATGACAATCGGACTTGTCGGCTCGGGCCACCAGTCACTTGGCTTGGAAAAGGCCTGAACTAGTCCAGCTCAAGGCTTGGAGGCGCTAAGTCCCATTTTGGGAAGTTGACTCGAGCTTGAGCTTGAGCCCAAGCCGACCCATGTGGCTTGATGAACCATAAGAGCTGGCCCGTTTAAATTTTAAAAAAAATCAATCTGCAAGCTGCCTTTTGAGGCAACGATTTAGCTACCAAACCGAAGCAGCTTGCTACCTTAAACCAGCAGTTAAGAGAAAGAATAGAACCGAAAGCTCGGGTCAAGCCTTAATGTTTTTGGTCGAACTTTTGCTCAGCTCAGCTCGTCTCGTTAAACACCTTTATCAATACACTTATACCAAACAATTTCTTAAGCTGCCAAGATATACATTACAATATATGTTTCTTGCTACTCTATATAGCAAGAGTGCACAAGTCTAAGAACTAATTGTGTTCAACTAACTCTCATTCTTAATCACCAATTGTATGTCATTCCAATCACAAGCTATTCT